GGGGGGGGGGGGGGGGGGGCAGAAGTTTTCCAAAACACATTTTTTCCTACAATGAGCAACTTCCCAAGAACAACTCCATCCTAACCCTTTTTTGCTTTTGTGATGCACATAAAAGCAACGCTACCGCTAACCCATTCCTGCCATGTGGGGCCTCCAAAAGATACAGACAATCCTAAAAACCTCTGCTCAAACAGGACGCAACTCTTGCTGAGGATCAGCCCCTAGCACTGGATCTTATACGGCCCAATCCTGTGATGAAACAGCTCCAACACAAGTCAATGGAGACAGCAGGTGCTTAGTGACCCGGTAAAAAATAAATCAAACCTCAAGTGCCTTAAGGACAAAGCACACAGCTATCATAAATCACTTTTACAAATGTAGGCCAGGCAGGAAGTCTGCAATGGGAAGACGAGGACTGATCCCTCACCACTGTGCTTCAATCATTAAACTAGTTCATTCTTCCTTCATGGGAACAGATAGCAACTTCAAGCAGATTTTAGAAACTTGCTCTCTTCCTTACCCATATATACAGGAGTATGCTGGTTGTGTATCAGAAACACAAGCAACTCCCCATATTGGAAATCTTCCTTTAGAAGCAGACTCCCCATCAGGATTAGAAATTCCACACTGCAGGTGAGGGGACTGGCTACAAACCAAAGTAACTGTATCTAGATTAACTGCTCCGAAATCCCAACCCACTTGTGATGGTTCCCAGGGAGCCAATACCCATGACTTCCTATAAAGGTTTAGAAGCTTTTAACACTAAAAGCTTTTGACACGGTTCAATAGCAAGAAGCTCTGAAAACAAACTTGGCTTTGTCAAATGTCTTCAAGAGAAGATGGCAGAAAGCACGTGGCACGTCGGGCCCACCCTATACCTGGCTTCAACTCAAACGACAAGCTTGTGCAGAACACGAGGAAGAACGGACTGACACTATGCAGAAAATAGCATTTCTCTTTCTAAGTGTCCCTTCACAGATCTCCAGGTGTTTTCACCTTCACCAGCTACAGGAGTAGAGGGAATAACTAGGGACAGAGTACTATAACATTATTTTTACGCTTCCTGCCTGCAACAAATCAAGAAAGAGGGAACACAGCCCATTCAAACAGAAATCTCATACGCAGCATTAGAAAGATTCTCACCTGTCTTCATCCTTGAATATAAATTTCCGCAGTTTGAGGTCTCTCAATACCAGTCCACCGTCGTGACAATGTGCAACAGCAGAAGCAATCTGATAGAACAGTTTGGCTGCTTCCTCTTCTTTAAGCTTCTTGCAGGTGCGAACAAAAGAGTGCATGTCTCCATAGCTCCTCTCAAAGAACACGTAAGCTTTTGTCTCCCCAAGAATTATTTCAGTAATTTGGTTGATATTTTTGTGTGCAGGTAGACAAAAACATGGCGCCAGTAACTCCTGGTAGCAGCCAATATCAAACACCTACAGAAATAACAACAGTAAAGCAAGGGTTAGAGATACTGTTGACCAAGATTATATCGAACAATCACACCGATGCCATCACTGAGCACTGCACACTGTTGTTGGGATGTATGCTGTTTTCCAAGCTGTGCTTGTCCAGAAGGAATCTCTCAAAATGAATTTGGGCATGATGTTGATAAACTAAAAAATAGATCTGATCCATCCTGACATGGAATGGAATACCAGAACTGAAACAGAGAAGTTGTTCCCCAGAAGTATGAAGAGCCAAAATGTGGTTAAACTCAGTCAGTAATGTGAATTATGGTTTGAAGGTCAAAGTTATATAGAAGGAAGATGGTAGACCTCAAAAGTGATGGAGTTTATTTTAAGGAATTCCAGCCAAGGACTCAAAAGAATATAGGCAGCATGCTGAGATTTGTACTTAAAGAGATGTTGTCAGACTAGATTCACTTTTACCAACCATCTTTTTACCTACTTTATTAATCCCTTAAAGCCTTGGGAAAAAAAAAAAGTTTCAAAACCAATCTATCACTATCAACATTGTTTACTTCCTCCAGCCCTTTCATCTGAGAGGGCAAGGCAGCCAAGCCAGTTTCACTTTCAAATTTTCAGTTTTGCAATGTTTGTTGTTTAAAATGTCAAGAAAAAAAAAATGTGGTTTAGGCTGCAGAAAAATTCCTTAAAAACAAACAACAACAACAAAAAACCCAACAAACCTTGGTTCAAATTTAACTTAAAGGTCCCTTGAGCATTTCTTGAACAGCAGGCAGATCAAAGAGTTTGTGAATGAGCTGCAAGAATGTACAAAGGATGCTAAGAAATTCATATATAAAATGCTACTATAATCCAGTGAGTACAAATGAATCATCATGCAAGTCAATTAAAAAAAAACCCAACCTTAAGGCAGAGGAAAGACTTTATGCGGAATAATTAAGTGCTCTAGAGTTAGAGTGTGCAAGCAAGGCTTGACAAGAAGCAAATAATACTGTATTTATACCTGCCCCACATACATTTTGGTAACAAAGGGAACTGTTCATGTTTCCAGCAAGGAGATGCTATTATTTGCTCAGCACACTCCGAGGTATCTTGCTATATTTAAAAAAAAACCAACATGAGCCAGCTTCAGATGCAGCTAGGTATTGTTTCTGCTTTTCTAAATAAAGGGTACAAGAGAAACTGGTACAGTTCTTAACCCAGGCTCTCACTAATACTATCTTCTTTATATCCTAGACTGAGACTCAGGGAGAATGTCCATCACTTCCTCTGAGGCTTTAAAAGCTTTTCAAACAAAATGCCCTTGACATGATTCAATAGCAATTTACAAGAAAACGAACTAAGGTTTTAATGCTTTGTAACAGCTTTGACTAATTCATTCCTCAGGAGGGATTCCAAAGTGGCAGAAACTGTGATCAAAGGGTCAAAAAATACTTACCTGTGCTGCTATACTACATCCCAGGCAGTGGGCAGTCAGACAGGCAGACTGCCAAACAGGCCCAACTCCTTTTAGGAGAGGAAGGATTAGCACTGAGGCATTCTGGTGCCTTGAGAAACCACAGAAACAAAGTTGGGATTTGGTGCTAAAATCCCCAAGATGTAGGTAATTCTGGAGGAAAATTCAGTGGCATCTGGATCTGCGCTAGTGTTGCAACACTTTTTAAATCCATCTTGAAGTGGTTGGAAATAGTTCCACGAAAATAAAAGGGATTTTTTATAGCCCTCCATCATGTATTTTAACTATCTTCTTCTGAAATACCACTGCCAGACATCTTACGTAACTTCAATATCCTGAGTAAGTAACCTATGTATTACGGCTGAGGGAAGCACTGTGTTTTAAAAAGGCCCCTATCATATTGCCACTATCTAGAGGCTCTTTTATAAAAGGCTTCTTTGTCACCGAAGTATGTAATGTCCCTGGACTCAATTCAGCCTAACGTCCAATAAGCAGGAGTTTGATTTAGATCTTACTAGCAATCGGAAATGAGCAGATACCATTACTTGGATGCCACAGACTCTAGAAGCAAGTAATGGCACTTGTACAGTTAGTGGGTAAAGGAAAATATTTCTGGGCAGTCAGCGTGTCTCTTATCTGAGCTGGCCCAAGAAGCCACCTATACCACCATCCGTAAGATACCAGATAGCAAAAAAGCGTGAGGTCCTTTAGCAGAAAGGGAATTCATTAAATAGGATTCATGGCACAGCGGGTGTTTTACAGCCTGCATTACAGTCAGTTTGGGCAACTGAGGAGTATTTAGAAGCTAGATATTAAAGTCAAGTCTTTTTAAAGCAGGTATATTAAGTGGTGGATAGGATTAGATCTTCAACTTTTTTTTAAAGTGAAAAACGTGTGGCTGAAAGGGAAACTAAAAAGAAACAAAAAAATTCTTCTGAGCTGTAGTTCATATCATGAAAATATGCCTACAACTACCTAACCCTTGCAATGAAGGAGAGGAAAAAACTTGCTAAAAATGAAGTACAGCAATGAAGTTACTTCTCAAAACACAAGTTCATGTGTAATTTCATGCAAGAAAAAAGCAGTTTTACATTATTATTTTCCCTTGAAAAGATGCAAACGAGTCAGTGCGTGGCCCTGCACTACTGCAAGATGGGACTTTCATTCTAGAAATCCGATTTCAACTTCTGTTGATTTTGGCAACCTAATGCATGCATTTTAACCCGCAGCCGTAATCCCAGTCTCATCAGTCTGCAAGGTCATAGGGCCCTCTCTCAAATAATCAACTGTAAAGGATTAAATCTTCGTTAACATCAGGGTTCCCACCTCCCAGTCACTGGGTAGATTTATGTTGCCCTCTGAACCAAAACCATTACAAAAAGCTGCAAAGAGTAATTATTTTTCCTTGCATTCCTGCCAGTCCATAACTTCTTGTGAATCAAATGCAGAAGGAATGCAACAGCCAATAATGACGCACAATCCTCCGGGTAATTGTGAATGATAACACGTCTACTGTTCATTTCACAGACAGCTCAAACCCCAGAAATTTGCATTTGCTAAATGGCATAATTATATATTTTGGGAACAATGCAAGGATTAAAGTATGTGCTTGAGGGTTGCAAATTGCTACATAGTCATCCAAGCTGGTCCTGGTTACTGCCGAAATGGATGGGCGTAAAGCTGGGACATGAGAGACAATGAAAATAGTAACCACTGCAGTTTAGGAACAAAGGAAAAATATGCCCTCAGACTGAAAGGGAAATACATCCCTTGAGAACTACGCAAGCATGCGGGCTTCCTCTTCTCACAGCTCACCTTCCAATGGCAGGAGCCCACGGGGAGGAAGTGTTGAAGAGCAGGCAGGCTACAAAGAGTGGGTTTCATATTTTGTCTGCTCTTCAAAAAAAAGACGTAGGTGTGCGCAGGTCGTAGCCGAGCTCCAGTGTGCAATAGGGGGAGGATGCTGTTTGCCAACAAGCTCTGTAGTGAGGGGGCTCAGAGCTCAGCCTGATTCATTTCAAGTGGATTTCTTAATCACTTTCTAGACAAAAGCTGACTGCATACCCCCCCCACCCCCCAAGTTGCAAAAGCATCAAATAAAGCAAGCCACAGCTCCTCACCACGACCAAGGGACCCCGCTGCAGCAGTCCGAAGGAAGCCAGGCTCACTCCCAAGCTCTTTGCAGCCTGGTTTAAAGATGGTTCTTCCCAAGCAGAGGGAGCCCTGGCTCCGGGCCACCGCTATACCGTGGCCATTGTCTGAGTGCAGGAAAAGTTGTGGGATGTGCGGGTCCCGGGATGGGATCGGGCCCGGGTCTCACCCCAGTGCTCGTGGCCCGTCCTGCCCCAACCAGCCCCCGGCCGCTTTGGGGGGACACCCCACATGAGAAAGAAACAAGAAAGAGGGAAGTGCGTTACCTTGCAAACCAGCTCCTCTCCGCTGTGCAGATGCACGGCTCGGAAAACGTGGTCTCCCTCCAGAGGCTCCAACAATAAGTATTTCCCGATGCAAGAAACGCAATGCGACAAGTTGGGAGTCTCTGGCGGGCTCGGGGAGCCGAGGTTGGGGCTGAAGCTCTGGCTCGGCTCGACGGATCTCAGCGACGAGAGCTCTTCGAAATCCTGGGTTTTACTCCGAGGTCGCCCATACCGCGCTATGGAGATAGGGGTGGACCTTTGTATGTTCATGAGGATGGAGAGAGCCGGCTCCGGTCCGACGGCAAAGCCCAGCCTTTGTGCGGCGACCACGGGGGGCGGGGGCCGGGGACCGCAGCCCAGGCGAGCCGGGGCACAGGATGCAGCCGCGGGTCCTTTTGTTTCCTCTCGGGGCTCGGCTGGAGCCAAGTGCAACAAAGTAACTACTCGCCGAGGCTCGGGCCCCCCGGAGCGATGCGGCCGCCGGCTCCACGGGGGCGAAGCGATCAACCCTCCCCCGAGAAAGAAAAAAAACACTGGATGCGCACAGGACTGGCTCGTCCCCTCTCTCTTTAATACGAGGCAAAAAAAAAAAAAATAGTAATAATAACGTCCCGAGTTGCCTACGTTTTAACTGTAGATGGCGTCTGGAGCTGCTCTCTGCCACGGAGGGCTCGCCTGATATGCAACACAAAATAACGAGGGAGCATTTAACTTACAGAGCAGTCAGCAGCGGCGCCGACAAAAGAAGAGGCAGGATCGGCTCGGAGAGACTTGCACAAAAGCCGGGTTTTCGCCCCCAGTCAAATCGATTACAGAATAAAAAAAAAAATAATAATTAATTCAACTTTGCACAAGGAGAGATGGAGGGGGGGTGCTGGAACCGAACAAAAAGTGCAAGCGAGGACAAGGAGGGATCAATGGGGTCCGGTTTCCATTGCACGGCGGGGGTTTGCTCGCTCTCCGAGGCTTTATTTTATTTTTTTAGTACAATTGGCCCATCCGGCAAAAATAAGAATAGGAAGAAGAACGCAGGAGGGGGGAACAGCAAAACCAAGACACCTGGATGCTTCCTTCTGCCAGATCTGGGAACATAGATGGGGGGGTGGGGGGGAGGAGAAGGCTGCAATCACTTCCCCCAAGGAAAAAAAAAATCAAAACGGTATCTATTGCAAGAAGCGGATCTGCTTTTCTTTCCTAAGAGGCAGAAGAAGGGGGAGGAAAGGGATGGCCGGGCCGATCCCTTTCAGCGAGGCATCCTCTCGCCACCACGTACGAATTGCTACTTACGTGGCTGGGAGCGTGTGCGCCTCTAGCCGCGCTGCGCCTCGCCACCAGTGTCAGCAGCGCACCCCGCTGCCCGGGCTCACTGCCCCGGCTGCGCCGCCGCGCCGCGCACTGGCTCGGGGGAGAGCCCGCCCCGCGCCCCGCCGCCTCCTCATTGCGCCGCCGCGCCATCAATCACCTCCGCCCCGCCGTCAGGCTCCCCCCCTCCGCCGTCCCCTCTGCCTCAATGAGCTGCGCGCAGGGTAAAC